AAAAAAAAAAAAAAAAAAAAAAAAAAAAAAAGGCAGTTAGTACTTCTCATTATCTCTTCCTTCTGTTTTGGAAACTGAAGTTCTGGAGCAAAAAAAACCCAAACAACTCTCTTCAACACTAAGCTGATAAAGAACCCATTATATATTTTTTATAATAGGAAGAGCTTAAGAAAACAAAAATTATTAGGTCTTTATAAAAACAGAACTGCACACACACTATTAACTTGCTTATAATGTCAGTGATAATCCAGTAATTTCCACTAACACAAATCTGCATCTACTGGAACAGTTTTTGCTTCAGTTGAATTACAGCCATGACACGAAAATCCTGAGCGACGAGAAATAATTATCTGCTTAGTTTGTAATCGGAAGATTTAATCCTAAGGATACATTTAGCTGATTTTAAATGTGAATTTTAGTACAGGTATAAGTAAACACAGGAGGTAGAAACAACTCCAACCTCTGACCATGACAGAGTAAATGAACTGGATTTGGCCTTCTACTATAAACAACTAGAACAAAATACATATGGCAACACTGAACGATAAGCAGTATAGGACCGTAATCTCTGAGAGAAGGGAAACTGAGTTCCATACTCATTCTGGCTTTCTGCTTGGAAGCACTCAGGTTATTAAGACTTCAGGGCACTGACCAGAATCTTGTGCTGGGGACCATCCTTTATGAGCAGGGATAACCTAGACTTAAGGTAAATGCTTCTTTAGACCTGGGGTCAGGAAACTATAGCTTGTAGGCCACATATATCATTCTACAACCTGTCTTTTGTATTTAAGTTTTACCGGAACATTTCCATGTTTATATATTAACTGCTCATCCTTGTACTACTGTAGCAAGTACACTTCCACTGTAAGAAATTGTTAAAGGGAGTTATTCAAGCTGAAGTGTTATTATACCACATAAAAATGGGATGAAGGCTGCTGGAAATTGTCAATATGTAGGTAAGATAAAAGATGTCTGCTTTCTTGTCTTTAAATTTAACAGATAATTGGGTACTTAAAGCAAAGATAATATGTGTTATAGCGATTATCACATAAACAAGTAAAATACACATAACGAAAGCACAAAGTTAAAGAGGTATATATTGTTGTAAGGTTCTTCCATGTACAAAGTTGTATAATCTGAAGATACTGTGAAAGTTTAAATATGAATATTACACACTTTGGAAAAACCACTAAAAATGTAAAAGAAACACTACAACTAATAAACCAGAAGAGAGGGAAAATGCACTTAAAAAAAAAAAAAGAAATTAGGGACAATGGAATGCATAATAGAACAGTTATAAAAATAAAAATGTAACAGACATAAACCCAAATAAACTAACAATAAAAAGTAAATTGTCTGAGTACTATAGTTGAAAGGCACAGATTATAAGATTGGATAAAACAGCAAATGTTAACTCCATGCTGCCTATAAGAAACATGTTTTAAATGTAACACAGAAACAAAGACAAAAAAGATGTGCCATGCAAAAATTAATCATAAAAAAGCTGGAAGAGCTATACTGCTATCAGAAAAAGTACCAAACATAAAATCTCAGAAAAAGTAGCTTCAGAATTAGGAATATGACCAGAGATAAAGAGGGAAATTTCCTAGGTACATTTTATTTATAAATCAACATCCACTCAGTCATCATTAAGGTAGATACTACATAGCAGACACTGCAATGGGTACTGAATTTTAAAGAATAAGACAGTTTGATTTTGAAATTACAGACCAGCAGGGGAAGTAGATTTTTAAACAGAAAAACATTATATTCTCATAAGAAGTTAAGTTCAAAAGGGAAACTAAGGGAGCAAGAAAAGGGTGATCCTCTACCTGAAAAAAGGCGAGCAAAGCTTCAAAAATAAGGCAACAAAGGGAAAAGTAAAAGTTGAAATTTCT